TTTTTTTTTAGTTATCATGGAGCAAGAGCAACTGCATAGCCACAGCCATAACCATAACCATAACCATAACCAAGAGACTATATATAACGCTTTTAACACATTTACTTTTTTGGTTCAAAATTAATCAAACGGCAAATGCAAAGTTGACAAATTGACAATTCCCGATTTTATGAGTGTTATTCTGTCGTGTTAACATGCGCCTAATTACGTCTAAATTGAAATATATTAAATTATTTATATTTATATTTAACTAACCGCAACCCAAAAAGTTGATTCAACTAAATTAATTGCCTATTCAGATTATTAATTCTAGATCATTATTTGAGATTACTACATTCGAGATTATTATATTCGGAATTATTATATTCGAGATTATTACATACGGGATTATTTCATTCGGGATACTTTTTTTCAAGATTGTGATTCTTCGGGATTATGATCATTCGGAATTTTTTTTTTCGAGATTTAGTTTTCAAATCAATGAATTGTCGAGATATTGCTTTTTCGAGATTTTGAGCTTCGGGATATAGTACCATCGAGATTTACATGATTTCGTACCAAACCCCTGCTTTACACAATCATCGATACTTTTACATAATTTCCGCTCCCGTATACCCAGTAATCGCTTCCTCCACTCAGGAATCACCTCCAACTGGACATACTTTGCTCCAATTCACTCAGGATCCGCAAATCCGTGTGAAATTTCACTAAGACAACCTCCCAGCAGGTTCTGCCAAGACGCAAATCGGAATAAACTAACGCTAATACTTATATTTAAAATAGAGGATGAAACAGAACCAGAATATAACAAAATATAAAATATAAAATATGAAATAAATTATGTACTGTACGTACTGTACGTACATACGTCATGAGGGATTGTTGATAGTTTTAAATTATTTTACTCCAAACCTGGTCAAATGATCGACAATTTGACCAGAATTGTAACTAATTAATTAAAAAATAATAACTTTGTTAAAATAAATTTAAATTATATAGTTATTTATAAAGATAAAAACTTCACTTAGATTGTAAATAATCAAAGCGTTTAAGTTTATAAATGCAATTTGTAATATGTTATAAAAAAATAAAACAAGGATTTTTTTAAATAAAAAATAAAACCAGTAAGATTATTAAAAAAGACGATTTTGACTAGAGATGGATCGGTCCGTCCCGGTCAGTCCCAGTCCTTATAAGACCGATTTTATGATTTGAAATTAATAAATTTAATATCTATACTTCTATTTGCTTATTATGACTCAAATATTTTATTAAAAATTTATTATTATTAAATAGGTTTAAATAGAGTTACAAAGCATTTTCTAAGTCATAGTTTATAAAAAAACTATGATATTACCCTTTCTTAACCGTCATCTATATCATTTATAATTTTAAATCTAAAAAATAAACCAGAAATAAGCCTTGAAAATTAAATTTAAAATTGTTTCTTGACATTGACCAATCGATTAAATTTATACCTGAAATATTATCATCATGGTCACCAGGAATTGAAAAAATCAGAATCTAAAAAATTACAAAAAATTAAAATCAATTATCAATAAAAAGTCGGAAGTATAATATGGGTAATTATTTACCGTAGATTTTTAACAATTTCAGAATAGTTAATTGGCTCAATAAGGTTTTTAATATTAACAATTTATTTGCAAGTTTGTCTTTAAAAAAATTGGTAATTTTATTGATAAATTGCAATAATTACATCCACCGATCGGAATGCTCTTACTATCGTCAATTGATTTTTACCAATGGCAGTTATACTTACTATTCCATAACACTCTTTTAATTTATTATAAATACTAGATGCATTTAGTCTATTATAAGGAGTACATTGATTTACCAACTGGGTTTAACATTCAGGAGTACCTTTAGTAAATTCATGATGCATTCCATTACATATTTGAATAGCTAATGTTTCATCATACTTAATATCCAAAACTATAAACGTCTGATGCTGTTGTAAATGGTTTTTATTTAACACTTCTGGAGCAACATAAGGTAAAACTCCTTAACTTCCATCTTCAAAATTAGATTCACTATTATTTATAGTCAATCCTGAATCTGTAATATAAGTTGTTGAATCATTGTCAATATATTGTTTTTGTAGTATATTGCCATTATGAAAGTAATTATGAAAATATCCTGCTTTATGAATTGCTGCAAATTGTTTGATATATCCATAAGCTGCTCTAATTTATCTTTCTAGCTAAGTTCTATTAAAATTTAATGCTAGGAAATCATGTATGCTTCATCAATTTACATATTAAATATTCGTTATTAGTTGTGCTTTGAGTTAGTCCATACGCTTCGATATTACTAATCTGACGTGCATATAATTTTTAAACTTGTTAGGGAGCTGACAGAAAAGAGCTCATATATACCCACCCCCTCCCTCCTACCATTTATACCCCTTTTACCCCTATATCCCTCTCTTTACCCCTTTTTGGGGTAAAAGAGGTAAAGGGGTAAGGAGGGGGTAAAGAGGGGTATGGGGGTGGGTATATACGAGCTCTTTTCTGTCAGCTCCATTAAATAGATAAAATAAAATCTACAAATCAATAACTTATTTATACTAAATCATAAGCAAATTAAAGCAAATTACTTCAACTTACTTCTCTTAAATTCTTTTGTGATATTCTGTAGTTTAAGTTGAAATTCTTTTAATGCAATCATCAACGTCCTTATTTTCACTTACCCATCCTTGTATTGACATCAAAAATTAGAAGTATTATCTCGGTTGCAACTTGCACATTTTTCTTATTTCAAATACTAACATATACTCGTTCGTTACAGTGCCTAGAGTTAGTCCATATATTTTAAGTTCACTTTTTAATTTCGTGAGACCTTTAAACTTATAATAATAAATGGAATATGTTATTAAATGAAATGAAATCGTAGACAATAATAAAACAAAATTCTTCTTACTTGCTTTAAAAAATCCATTGAATTCTGTGAGTTAGACAACATCTTAAGTTTCGACCTTACATAGCGTTGTACGTGATTGTGTATATTCCCCAACTTCACCTAAAACTAACAGTATACCATCAAACCAAATTGCTATAAATTTATTACCAATCTTTAGAATATTACCCGACCTATTAAAGGGAATCCACTCGATCACATCTTTATATTTCGTAGTTCTAAGTTGAGTTCTTTATAAAATAATCAACGTCTTTATTTCCACTTGTTCATCCTTGTACTATTTTCTGAGGATCATATGTTCGACACCAGTCCAGGCTTTGGAAGTGTTATCTCAACGGCAATTTGAACATTCCATTATGCTAACAAAATATAGCTGTACTTTAAATATAATTGTTTAACAATTATTATAAAACGCACCTATGCTCAGTAGTTTGAGTTAGACCATAACAAATGAAAATCAGGGTATTATTCATATAATTTCATATATTCCTTAAATTTGTATGATTTATAAATAGATAATATCTTAATCGAATAATCGAACAAATCTTTATGCAACAAATAATAAATAATATATAGTAATTTTATAATGTAAAAATACCATAAAATAAATCATATAAACTTACTTCTTCTAAAACATCTAATATTTTTGTATATTGGATAATATTTCTACTGAATATGATGGTGTATGTAACTGTCTATATTTTCCTGCTTTACCTATAAATAATTGTATATTATCTAACCAGGTTGCCAAAAAATTACCGCAAATTTTAATTATCTAATTTATTAAAAGGAATCAATTAGACGATATTGTTTTATTGATTAGCGTTAAGTTGAGGTTCTTTAACGTAGTCATCCACATTTTCATTTCCACTGGTCTAACTTTGTGTTGTTTTCCGAGGATCGCATGTCTGACACTGGGCTTCAGATGTGTTAAATCGGTTACAATTGGAATATTTTTCTTTCCATTCTTATATGTCCAAAGCTATTGCAATTACTGTAGAATTTATTATATTCTAATAATTGCACAATATTTTTAGACCTTTATAAAATATATAAATTAAACTCATGTTAAAAATTAAAAAGACCATACATAAATAATTAGTAACTTACTTCATTTAAAATATCTAATAAATTTGTGAGCCACATGAACCATCGGTCATAAATACATATCACATACCATCTAACCAAGTTTCAAAAAAATCTGTAATCATTCTTTTGAATATTGTCTACCCTATCAAAAGGAATCCACTCGATCACACTCTCATGTGCTTCAGCTTTAAGTTGATATTCTTAATGCAATCATCGACAATTTGTTTCCAATTCTGTATTATTTTCTGAGGCATATAGTGTTATATCGGTTATAAGATGAACATTTTCTTTGCTTCTTGTCTCTTTTTGATATAAATTCATCAGTCATAAACATATATTCATTTGTGATCAGGTTTTGAGTTAGTCCACATATTTCATTGTTCTTAAACTTGCATAATATTAAAGAATTTATGTATTATTAATTAATAAGGCCATATATAATAAACTTACTTCTTTTAATATTTAATAAATTTTGTGAACCAGCCAATGTTTTAAGGTATACTATACATGGTGGTGTTCGTGACTTTGTATATTCGTCTTTATTTTCATTTACATATCCTAGTTCTCTATCCAAGTTGCTAACCAGTCTTTGAATGTTATCTAATCTATTAAAGGGATCCATTTTATTACATTCTCATATTTTGTAGCACTAAATTGAAATTCTTTAATATTCCTGTGCCACTCTTGAGAGTTGCATGTTTGGCACCAGGCTAGTGAAGTATAATATCGGCTGCAGTATATATATTTTCCATTCTGACTATTTATTTTGGAAATTAATCATTGTTACAATACCAGTGTGTTGTATGTTATATAACAAAATTTGTAACACAAATAAATTGTCCTAATAAAAAATTTAAAAAGTTTATCTTAAATGAAAAATTATATTATTTTGTAGTCTAAAAGTTTAATAAATTTATTTAAAAAATTTATAGATACAAAACAAACCAAAAGTTGATCTACATCTATTCAATTGTTCAAACCATAGGATTGATTTCACTAAATAAATTACAATTTATGGTAAACAAAAATGTACAAACAATATACATAGTGTCTCTTGATATAACAGATTTACTAATAAACTCACAATATTGCGGATTTCTTTCTATTTGCCCTAATAATACTTTTATCAAGAGTCACTGCACTGTGTATATAAAGTGACAAAAAAATTTTATAAATCTTTTATTTTCAATGCTTTTGCTAATGTAAGGGCTTTTTCATTTTTAGAAGCAGCTGAAAGTTTCAAATATCTTACACCCTTTTCAGAATCTTTCTGAATCACTTTTCCATGTAAATACATATCAGCTAAAGTATACATAGCGACGCTATTACCATTATCAGCAGCTAATGTTAAATATTTAAGAAATTCATCACGATTGTCCTTAACTCTTGGTAATAAACAAGCATAACGCAGTTGTGCATCAGGATGATTTTTATCAGCAGCAGTTTTATAGAGTTTTATAGCTTCTTCTATATCGCATTTCTTTTGTTCATCAGTTCTGTTATCAGAATAATAACCTTCATGTAAATAATAACCTTTCCAATAGATCGCAGATACATTCCCTAAATCAGCATTGGCTTTAAAGCATTCCCAGGCTTTCTTTCTATTTTCTTTATCAGCCGTTTTATGTAATTTTATTCCTTCATCAACTAATAAAATTTGGTCAAAATCTGAATGATCAGTGATATAACAATCGTCAAATTCAGACTCTTCACTTAAAGATATCTTATGAGGTTCATCAGATTTGCTGTTGTTAATGGTTAAAATAGCAGGATCTTTACCCGGAATTACTTTTTTAGACATATTTGATACATCTATGTAAAGCTGTTCAAGGCTAATTCTTACATCTGGATTATGTTCCCATGCTATTATTTAATGTTAAGCAAATATATTTATATTATATTAATTTTTCTAAATTTAATAAATATTTAAATTTAAAGTCAATATTACGTACCTTTTTTGATGATTGATATGAGATTATTTTGAATAATATCATTTTCAGGCTCTATATTTGAAACAAGTTTACATTCCTCTCTTTTACCAGTTGTGACCTTTTCAATTATGACTTGAATATCATCATTTCCGTAAGGAATTGCTTGATAAGTAAGTTCCCATAATAGCATACCAAAGCTACACATATAATATCTATTAGTGATAAAAGAAATAATGACTGTTGTACTTTGAAAAATCTTGGTTTATACATACCTAAATATTTCACATTTTTGTGTATATGGGTACAGTTCAGCATCAGTCTCTGGAGATAAAGAACTATTTGTATTTTTGTATTTTTGCATTTTCTCGGGAGCCATCCAGTTAAGAAGGTCTAAATATTTATTACCGATATTTGTTGAACAATCATCGTGCCCTCTCGAATATTGAAAGTTTGATATTTTTGGTTCAAATGCACGTGTAATCTATTATATCGTCAAATATAAAAGCAATTTAAATATATAACTTAAAAATTTTCACAAAGATAATATATTACTCACCATTATATTTTTACATCGAAGATCATGATGAAAAATTCTGAGTGCTTGTAAAAATACAATTCCACTACAGATACTATAAGCAATATTTGCTTTCGTTTGCCAAGAAATAGGAGATTTTTCATAAACTTCTTTTAAACTCCCCAATTCAGCCCATTCAAACACCATAACATTTCTGTTATTCAATTTTGATAATCCGTAGAATTTAAGAATATTTGTACTTTCACCCAACTTTTCTAATATGGGTAAATAACGGAGTGTCGTTTGATATTCTTTGTTAACTACTTTATCAGCAGAAATATTAAATGATTTACATGCAATCTCTATCGCATCCCTTAATATTCTCTTTACTACTTTCTTTGATTCACCGCGACTATCTGATTCACTACCACAAGCAGGATTTTTTATCATGCCCGGATCAATTTCATGGACTTTTATATCTGGATTATATTTATAACCTCTAGAATCCGGATTTCGAACGTTCACTTCATGTGAAAGGATTTTAAAGTTGTCATCAAATATTGGTTGGATTTTTTCTAAAAACTGTTAATATAAAGAATAAATAAATAAAATTTTGAGGATTATTTTCATATATTTTGAGTATCAATGGATTTATACAATGTAAACCATACCTCTTTCATTGTCGTAATATCATTTGCTAAATATTTATGGTCTATCCTCCTTTGTTCTTCATATGAAACGATTAACGTTAAGTTTAAGTCTCTCATACAAGCATCGTATTCATCGGTTAATTGCATAAATTTATCCTTAATTTCATTAGCATTGAGGTATCGTTTAATGCCCTGAATTTGAGAAACTTCTTCCGCATAAGCTTTAATATTTTCCAAAGAATTTTTAAACTTTAAAAAAGTTTGTTGATAAGTTTTATCAAGTTTTTCACCATTTTCTACTCTTTTTTGTAACATTTTTACTACAGCTTCTGCAGCTATAATGCGATCGTTTAATAATGCACAAATATGTTTATTACATTGAGCTTTTTCAAAAATTGAAGCTATTTCATCTATTAAAGCTAATGCTGATTCTAACATTGGTATCATCGGTTTAAGAGTTTCACTGACTATTTTAACAATAGAATTAGATTTCACTGATTTAACAGCGTTCATTATTTTTTCCAGGTATTCTGATGTAGTTTCAATCGTAACCTTAAATTTTTTCTCAGTTTTATCAGACATGATGAATTTTTTGAAAATTTTGGATACTATAATAAAATTGTCTGTTGAACAAACTTTTTAATAATTTTTATATATATTATTTCTTTCTACTAAATTTATTTATGTAACGAAAGCAACAAAAATTTTTTTTTGGTTACAGGAGATTATATTCCGATCATGGTAGTACGTACTTACAAATTAAGCTTACTGTGATCTCTATTGTAACTTTGTAATATTTGGATGATAATAATCAACTCTTCGTAATAACTTAAACAGTATAGCACAAGTCTCAATATAATAAATACCTATACCTCATCAATAAAATTACTAAACTCATATAGATTGCTATCAAATTTGTCATGATTTAATTTTGCGCTTTGCAAAAAGATGTGGCTATCTATGTAAGAATCGGAGATTTTATTAATTTAAGAACAATATTTTAACATTTATTTCAATACGACAATAATTTCATTATCTTAACAATAGTTTTTGTATATAGTAATACGTAACTTAAAGTGGCATATAATCTATCTACAATATGATATTTATTCAACATTACAAGTTGCAAACCTTCTATAAATTAGTAAAAGTTTTGTATAGAAGTATTGTGAATTTGTAGAAAATGGTAATTCTTTTAATCTATTCAGTAATTGTAAAGTGCTATCTTTTGATAAACATATTTTACTTATTATTTATCCAATTTGATTTTATTCCCATATAAATCAGGCCTGCCGAAAAATCAATTAAAATAATTTTTGCTATACGTCATACAATTAAAATCAATTAAAATTATCATACAATTAATTGAAACCCAATTAATGACGAAATAATTGCAATTAAGTACTATTTATTCCCGGGACGGTGGGAATAATGAAATATTTCCCCAGCAGCATATATGGGGCGCAAAGCGCCCCCATAATTGCGACGCTGGGGGAATATTTTAATTATTTCCCCGGCACGGCGGAATAAATGAGTTATTCAACGTTTCATATGACGACATGACAGGGACTCGTGTTATTAATTATTTTTATCATTTTCTTTGTCTCCCTTCATATTTTTAACTTTTCGGGGAAATAACAAATGCCTGTTATCACCCCAGCTTTATTTGTTATCACCCGTGCAAATAACAAATAAGAAAAAAAAAAGAAAGAAAAAATTTATGATAAAAATTAAAATTAATAACACGTAAATCCCCGTCATGCGATCATAATGAGACGTGGAATAACAAAAATATAAACTATTACATAATTATTTTGTTGCCTATTTGGATATTTGATTATATAAATGATTAAATAATTTATCAGCTATAACCGGCTATTTAGCCGTACGACTGACCGCGACTTAACCGACTATGAGCGACTAGCCGATAATAACCGACCGTAACTGACCGAATCCATCCCTAATAATATCAAATATTATCGATAAGAATTTAATTTATATGAAAAGGGTATCACATATAAAAGTTAAAATTGACGGATATCTATCAATATACTGTATATATAATATTTAGGTAGTCTTGATTTAACCTGTTAATATCAGACAAATATTACGCCTCCCATCAGATTTTAAATTCGTAAAAGATGGGTCTCTAATATTGGAAATTGAAGAAAAATGTTATGGATTAAGAGATTCTTGGAGATGCTGATGAATTGTTTATAAAAATTCTACTAAAAGTTTCACTACAGATCAGATAAACGGTCAACTTCTAAAGACAACTGACAAGTCATCTACAATTACGGCTAAACTGAAGATTTTGTTCATTTTTAATTTAACTTTGTCTTTTATATAATATATTTAAGAAGATTAAAGAATCATTTAATTTTGTAGATTTGGGGTCTATGAATGATGTCACTTCTCTATCTTGATTGTGTATATGCGTTATATATGTTATTAAATCACAGAAGTACTGAATGTAATAACAATTATTTAGGGTTGAAATTTGCTGTCAAGCTTTTACTAGATTTTACAGTATATATTACTGTACAATATTATGTGACTTTGAAAAAATCAAAAATTAATGCTTCGAAAAAAGTTGCTTTTCATAACTAATATTTTATACCTGGTTGGTTTAACCCTATTAATTTCTTTATTTTATTATGATTGAAGCTCTCTATATATATTTGAAAAAATCTACTTTTCTAATAGAATGAAATACTATTTAACCTATATAATTTGAAATAGATTATTGTTATATATATATATATATCAAATTTATAATAAATTTAAATACAGTATATCGATTAGTAGATGCACTCATCTATTAAATTAATGTGAATAATAACTGGAATTACATGAGATATGTTGTAATAGTAATGTCATGAACTTGATAAATAAATCGATTAATAAAATATTTCACACTCTCCAATTAGTGAATTAGTGCTATAAGCTTGAGAAGAATTCATTGTAAAGGGTTTGGATCAAAATCCCGACAGGTCATAATCCCGACAAAAAAATCCCGACAATCAAAAATCCCGACAAATCCCGACAATCAAAAAAAGTGTTCGTTGAGCAATTTTACTATATAAAATCACCTATACCCTAACCCTAACCTAGGCGCACACCCTAACCCTAACCTATGCACTCACCTAATCTTACCCTAACTTAAATAAACAATAATTTTTTGTTGTCGGGATTTGTCGGGATTTTTACTGTCGGGATATTTTGTCGGGATTATGACCTGTCGGGATTCTGTTTGTCGGGATTTTGACCAGCACCCCATTGTAAATGCGTCAATTAGCATAAGACCTTTACATTTTCGACCAAATCCGAAACACTTAATAATTAACGTTAAATAGTGTTGGGATCCGTTTTGTTGAACATCCGGATATCCGTGGATGATGCGGATATTCGGATGTCATATTTTACTCGCGGATGGTGAATCTGGATAGCAAAAAATATCCCGGATGATTATATGGACTTTTAAAATTAGAATAAATTTATTGGTCAACGCATTCTAACTGGCTATTATCCGGATAACAAAAAATATTCCGGATGATTATATGGACTTTTAAAATTAGAATAAATTTATTGGTCAACGCATTCTAATTGGTTATTATCCGGATATCCGTAATATTTATGGATATGGCCTTTTTGAGCACGGATATTTGTCAACGGATATTCGGATGGATACGGATGTCCTATCCGGATAGCTGTTTTTGAGCGCAGATGGCTATCCGGATCCCAACACTAACGTTATTGTAATTATCTAATATACTAAATAGGGATGGGTTCGGTCGGTACGGCCGGTCACGGTAATTTATTCAGTCATTGTCGGCTATGGTTGATTTTCAACATACAGCAGTTCTGTAGTAAGTTAAAAGCTTGTGATCAGTCACGGTTATAATCACGGCTGTAATCGGCTATAACCTAACCGAATCCATCCTAATACCAAATATAGACTAAAAGATCACCTTTATCATTCTTGTATTCTATTCGTTAAATAAGATCAGGTGATTAAACATATGCGGACCCTACCGGGTACCCACCTGGTGTGAGACCTGGTGTGAGACCTGAGACGTGACCAGCTCGGGAATGTACCCGGTCTTTTCGGGTACGAAGATCAGTTACCAAATTGAGAATATTATTTTCAAACCGTTTATCATTTTAATACTAGAATACGAAAGAAACCTTTGCTTAAAGAAGCTTACAAACAAATAATTACATACAAAGAATTTATCATATAAAGTTAGAAAACAGATAGACACGTGTAGAGTAGGACAAATGTAATATTAATTATTAAAAGCCCGAACCATTAAAGAGTTAATACGTGAGTAAATTATTGGCAAAACTTTCTTTGTCTGTTATTTATTATCTTTGAAAAATTAAAGTAATTCAACCTTATTTTATTACCATGACCTTTATTAGAGTTACAACATGACATTTAGCCCACGTAATTAATGAAACAATACTCATATACATATTATTAACCTACTGCTTAGCCCGAAGTTACTACTCTATAATATTTAGAATTTGTAAAATAAGAGCATTAGTATAAACCAGTGTCTGAAATTCAATTTTTAATTTAGTTGCGAGCCTGCAACTAAATAAAAAATCTACTTGCGGATTATATGAGTTTAGTTACGCATATGAATATATCTATATTCAAATTCGCAAAATTTATTGGCGGAACTGCATATGCATTTCGGATTTTTGTCACATTTCGGTCCGCAAACTCCGCAACCCAATTTCAGAAACTGGTATAAGATTTTTGTTATAATAACACACTAAACGGTATAAACAAAGTTTTTTAGGTTTTCAATCTTCTTTGGTTTTTTTTTTGTTGATTGTTTCCAGCATCTAGAGATTACGTATAGTTAACATGACAATAAATAGTAAAATACTTGCTTCAAAGTGAAATTCTTGGGTTACTGATTATTTTTGATTATCTTTACTCAATGAATATAGACGTTCTTTGAAATTAGAAATGGTTTTTACAGTGATTTTTTTGTTAGTGGAAATGTTATATTCTCCAAAGTGCTTTAAACTGTATAATAAGTTACCCGGGCAATTGATTTACATCAGCCAATCAGACGAATGTCTGTCTATATGAATTAACGATATAGGGATAGTAATAGTAATAGGTTATAGTCGCAGTTATAACCGTGACCGATCAGAGACTTTTAACCTACTGTTTAGTGGTACTGTATATCGAAAATTAACCACAGCCGAATTAATGACCTTAACCGACCGAACCCATCCCTGATATAAGTTTCATTGTAAATAGAGTAAAACATTAGATCTTATTCAGCTTCAAAAGTCGAATTTTAATTAGATTTGGACAAAAGTAAAAGGTCATAATAAAATGAATACAGTATAGTATTGGTTAATGCAATGCGAAGTACGTATTGGTGCATAATGCAAATACATCCATTGGAGATACGTATCACTCAATGAAATACAGTTTATTCATGTTTTTTGGAGTATTATTTCTATGCACAGAAAATGTTGTTATCAATACATGAAATCTAAAAAAACTTTATTCTTTTATACAGTATATATAATAAATGATAGTTTATTAGTGA